CTGTGGACAGATGGCAAAAGTTAAGTCATGAGAAGAACTTGAAAAAAATGGGAATCAAGCTGAGGTCCTGCTGTCATAAATATAAAGGGAAGGGTAAACCCCTTTGAAATCCCTCCTGGCCAGGGGAAAGCTCCTCTCACCTGTAAAGGGTTAAGAAGCTAAAGGTAACCTCGCTGGCACCTGACCAAAATGACCAATGAGGAGACAAGATACTTTCAAAAGCTGGGAGGAGGGAGAGAAACAAAGGGTCTGTGTCTGTCTGTATGCTGCTCTTGCCAGGGACAGAACAGGAATGGAGTCTTAGAACTTTTAGTAAGTAATCTAGCTAGGTATGTGTTAGATTATGATTTCTTTAAATGGCTGAGAAAAGCATTGTGCTGAATAGAATAACTATTTCTGTCTGTGTATCTTTTTTGTAACTTAAGGTTTTGCCTAGAGGGGTTCTCTATGTTTTTGAATCTAATTACCCTGTAAGATATCTACCATCCTGATTTTACAGGGGGGATTTCTTTATTTCTATTTACTTCTATGTTTTATTAAAAGTCTTCTTGTAAAAACTGAATGCTTTTTCATTGTTCTCAGATCCAAGGGTTTGGGTCTGTGGTCACCTATGCAAATTGGTGAGGCTTTTTATCCAACATTTCCCAGGAAAGGGGGGGTGCAAGTGTTGGGAGGATTGTTCATTGTTCTTCAGATCCAAGGGTCTGGGTCTGTAGTCACCTAGGCAAATTGATGAGGCTTTTTACCAAACCTTGTCCAGGAAGTGGGGTGCAGGGTTTTGGGAAGTATTTTGGGGGGAAGGACGCGTCCAAACAGCTCTTCCCCAGTAACCAGTATTAGTTTGGTGGTGGTAGCGGCCAGTCCAAGGACAACGGGGGGAATATTTTGTACCTTGGGGAAGTTTTGACCTAAGCTGGTAAAGATAAGCTTAGGAGGTTTTTTCATGCAGGTCCCCACATCTGTACCCTAGAGTTCAGAGTGGGGGAGGAACCTTGACACCTGCTTACCTAATTTTTGCTTCTGAAAGAGGTTTCAGCTTCCAGTTAAGGTGTTTATAAATCATCTCTCTGATTTTAGGATCAATATGTATCTGGAAACTGTTGATATCCTAGTGTTCTGCAGTTTGTGTCTCATATTGCTAACCTAAAATAACATGGCATCAGCATGGTAAAAAATGGAAAGGAAACAGCTGTTTCTCCTTTTTATGCTGGGTGACAATCCATTTGTTAACATTAGAATAGCACTGACTATAACATTAATAACAGTTTTGGTGCTGGCTATTATTCAGCCAAAGCAGGTGTATCAGGAACTAGAGAGCAGACAAAGAGCATATGACTTGCTCTCTTGATCACGGCTATCCTTACATGTGGGTGATCATTAGATTGATCCCTTTTTCTTTCTCTTCCTTTTAAAAATAATAAGGATCTATCCAAGTCTGCCGTAGCTGTTTATACTTCTGCCCTGTTAGTGCTGGATGATGACTGATCCTGCATGGGAGCACAAGGGGAATTGTGGGGCGGGAGGAGCCTTCCACACTGCTTGGCAGAGGGGTGCACATACTGTACCTCCACAAAGAAGTAGAAGGCACCTCTAATTATGTTTTTCACTACCCCTGGAAGCATTGTATCTGCCTGGGAGCACCACAGAATGCCTGAGGACTGGCATTTGTGTGTTCTACCTCCATATCCTCCTTGGAAGGCAATAGACAAGAGCCTTTAATCTGTATTAGTATTTTGAGCACTAATGAAGGGCCTCATCATATTTTGTTACACTATAAGGGCCTGATCCAAAGCCCATTGAAGTCAATGGAAAGATTCCAATTGACTGTGAAACAAATTATATCAGGCCCTGAATCAATCAAAATGATCTCTTTAGTGTTGATTTTGTTTTGGGGTGCAAAGGCTGTTTTTATTTTTGTTTTGCACAGCACCACACACTTTGTCAGCATGTATGAAATAATGAAACAACAAATAAAAATAATCCTTTAGTTGTCCTGTAGCCATAGGACTGTAGGGTTTTTCTTATTAAAATATGAACTCCTTTATGTTATTTTTGGAAGTGCAAGATATTACGGTATGAGATTCCACAAATTAAGCAGATAAAATAAAAAGGGTCAAATTCTGGTTTGATGACACATTTGCTTTTGGCAATGAATCATTTCCCATCTAGGTTAGACGTCTCTATCACTAAAGCCAACAAGTTAGTGTGAAACACAGACATATAAGCAAATTGTGAAAGTGCTGATGATGCATATTAGTGGTAGGTTGGCTGACTGCTTTATAAAAATAACCACTGGGGGTAAAGGTTATGAGGAAGTGCCTCTAGGCTTTGTGGGTCAGACTGTTATTGCAGTGATTTTTGTAGGCACCTAGAAGTCAAGTGTTGCAAAGCTAAAGTCCCTTTGTAAAACTGGACCTCAATCTCTCAGGGTCTGTCTACACTGCAATGAAAACCCAGTACTAGTACAACTCAAGTTAGCAGATCTGGGGTTCATTAACACAGGGCTTGAGCATCTACAACCATTTATAACCCCAGGTTAGGAATTGTTGAACTCTGGCTCCCAACCCGGGGCTCCAGCATTATGCAAGCCCCAATCCAACAACCCATATCTCCAGGGCCTAAATTCTCAGAGTATTTCCTGGAGCTCCTAGTCCCCCATCCTGCTCAGGGCTTCAGGTCCACGGGGGTACGCCCTGCAGCTCAGGGCTTCAGGTGTGGAACCCCAAGCATGCCCAGAAACCAGCTCGCAGACCCCCAAAGGGCTGCAGACCCCCAGGTGAGAACCAACAAAATCAGGCTGGAGTCATTATTTACCAGAGCTCTGCTCCAGACAGCTCCAACTGAATTTAAACCCTACAAATCTCAGACTTTCTAGCACCTTCCCAAACTATAGCTGCTCTAGCTCTTTATTCATGGTGCAGTATGGGAAGATTTGACTGTCCACCAAACGTGACTGTCAAGAGGACAAAAAAAGTCAGTCTATGGGAATATGGAATACTTCTGGCAGACTCCCAGAGCACAAATCCAGTGGGGCTGTGTCTCCAGTGCAAAGCCATAAGGCATGAAGCCTGGATCCCAGCTTCACTCAGGCTCAGCCCCTCTACTCCTGTGGACTCGGAAACCTGGGTTAGCACAATTTGTGTGTAGATGGGAAGGGGGGTTAGGCTTGAGAGTGAGTTCAAACCATGGGCTTACATTGCTGTGTAGACATACCCTCAGACAGTGCCTCAGTTTCTGATCTGTAAAAATGGAGAGGATACCTACCTTACAGAGGTGTTGTGAAGATAAATCCCCAGTACTTCGTATCTGAGCACTTAGTATCCCTTGCGACTCACAGAGGCACCTTTACTGATAGATGGCTATTTAATTATCTATATGGGATTATTTAAATCCATTTCCTAGAGGACAGATGTTCACAATACAATTCCCACCTCTGACACTGCCGGTGGAGAGACTATGGACCAATTCCCCTTCTCAGGACAGCCCGGTTTGTGCTGTAGCTCGGCCAGCATGGCCGGGCCACTGCCACTGAGTTGCTGGATGAGAAGTTAATATTTCCTCAGGTACCAATACTCTCAGGTAGTAACACAGGGGAGAAAATCTGCTTTTAAATCCGATGTTTTCTGAAAGCAGCATAAATAGCCCACCTCTGTCTGAACACGTTTTGTCTTCCGGCCTTAGAGGAACCACCTAAGGGCTGGATCTGGCAAGCCTCTCCCGGTGCGCTTGCAGGATCCAGATCAAGGAGTTCAGTGGGGCTCTGCAGCTGCCGCTGGGAGCAGGCTCGGGGCGGTTAGGGATGCGGAGAGGGGAGGCAGTTGCGGTCTTTCCAAGGTACTCTGGGCGGTGCGTGGCACTTCGGGGGAAGTCCGGGTCCCCCGGAGTTTGCTTGGGGGCAGTTACACAACGAGGGAGAGGCAAACAGCGGCAAAGGTGGAGGGGAAGCGCGATGGGTGGCAGGGCCCAAAAGGCCACTGGGGCTCTGCGGGGCTGGCCAAGTTTGGATCCCCTCCCAGATCCCCATTGCCCGCTCCCCGAGCTAATGCCTCGCTTGTTGTCCCCGCTGAGTCGGGCTCGTCGCTGCGCGGCAGCCCCGGCTCCGCTCAGCAGCCGGCCTCGGCCCCCGGCCGCAGCTCGGAGCCCGCCTGGGCTTAGTCCCTGGGCTGCTGACCCAACTGGTTGAGGGGAGCGTCGCAGGAAACTCCCCCTTTTCAGCTGGAAAGTTGGGGCGCGGGGGACGGAGCTGAGGGGCCGGGGGGCTCTCCACGTGAGCAGCGCCCCCCCCCCCACCTCCCCGGGAGAGGGGGAAGGGCCGCTTCCTCCGCGCTCCCGGGCCCCTGCGAGGCAGGCGGTGAGTCACGGCCAGGTCAGGACCGCGCGGGGCGAGGCGGGGGAGCCGAGGCCACCCGCTGATTTACCGCTGGGAGCCGCCACAGGAGCTGCAGAGGCGCCGAGGGAAGTGCGCAGCGCCAGAGTGACCGGCGCCTCCAGGTGCCTTGGGGAGCAGCAGGGCGGCGCCCACCCCCCAGCAGCGACGTTGCCTCCAGCTGGCGGGAGTGCAGCGCGGGAGTCGGGGACCCAGATGCGGAGCAGCTGCCTCGGCTTCCCCGCCCGCTCAAGGTACAAACGGAGAGCGCCGGGGACCGGCCTGTCCAGCCACCCGGCGCCTGGGTCAGTGCTCAGCCCCCCCGTTGCAGGAGGGGGATTCCCCCATCCGCGAGCTGGAGCCTCAGTGCCCCGGGGGCGGGGAAGGGGCCAGATCCCGCCGTTCTCAGCCTGAGCGAGGACTGGAGGATCTGGCCCCAAACTCGTGCGAAACCGAATCGATCCCGTTGGCTGTGGCCGCGGACTGGAGCCCGCGGCCTGGGGGCGGGGAGGAGGGGTTAGCGCACTTGTAGCTGTCAGTAAGCGCGGGGGCAGCAGGCGGGAGAGATCGGGGCAGTGGGACGGGCCGCGCGCTCCTGGGGCTGAGTCAGGGGGAGTTCTCCGGGCGACCGCAAGGAGAGCGAGCCTGCATGATTCAGGAGTGAGTGACTCCGCCGAGGGCGGAGGCGGGAAGGTGAATGAAGTGTGTGTGCGTGTGCGGCGCTTACAGTCATCCACTCTGGAACCACCGCCGTCTGACTCAGCCTCACGGCCGCGACGGGGAAGCGGCCAAGCGGCGCAGGAGCCGCGAGGAGCCCCCGCACCCTCCAGCGCTGAAAGGGGATCGCCTCGCCCTGCCTGCAGGTGCACGTGCATCTCTGCTGGCCTCCTTCGCGCTGCGCCTCCCGGGCGGCTTCTGCCCTCACCCGTTCCCAATGAGATGACCCCGCTGCTTGGGAATGTAGCGGGAAGCGTTGGTGTCCGGCTAGAAACCCCTAGAGGGGACCCCAGCGGGAATACCGCGTTTTTGGCTTTAGCAGAGACAGGTACTGTATGCATGCTGCACTGCCCTGGCGTGGGAGTCAGTTAAGGGGGTCAGATTAATTCCGACCAAGGGAAACGTCAACTCGGTATGCATCTGATGAAGTGAGCTGTAGCTCACGAAAGCTCATGCTCAAATAAATTGGTTAGTCTCTAAGGTGCCACAAGTACTCCTTTTCTTTTTGCGAACTCCACTCTGGTGTCTTCTGCATTAGTGTTTTATTTTACAGCAATCGCTGCTTTAGCAGCTGGAAACTTCCTGGGTTTGAGATGTAATAATAAAACCCTTTACCACCCTCCTCTGTGTGAGGAGCGTCAGAGAGTCTAATTTTGACAGAATCATGTCAGTTCTTCTAAACTTTCATCAGATGATTATCTATATACTTTTTTCATTTTTAAGATATCCTAGTCAGTTACTACGAGGGTAATTGTTCCAAAGGGCATTAGAAAGAAAATGCCACACTTACAAAGCACTCTCTCTAGAAATGTTGTAAGAAGCATCACATTGTATAACACAATATTTAGGCTTGTATTTCACATGGAGCCATCCACCTACCGTACATATGTTGTTTTTAACATGCATCTTGTGTACTATTTTTCTTGTCAACTATTACACTTTCTCTTTGTGACTGTCTATTTGCAATGATCATATGGACCGTTAGCTGTGCTGTTTGGGGGGTAAGAGGTGCAGAAATGTAAATGAAGTCAAAGGCTTTGGGTTATTCAGATGGTTTTGTCAAATTTAACTTGAAAGTTCATTTTAGAAAAAAAATGTGCTTTTAAATATTTGGCTACTGATAAATTCTTGCATAGTCAGTCAGGCTTACATCAAGTTAAATGCTTTTTTTTTTTGTTTTTTTAAAGTATACTATCTTCCAAATTACCAGAGTATGTACTTTACAGATCTGGTGTATTTAAAATATTTCTTGCTGTTGTATTGTAGATTTTTTATTTTAAAGATTAAATTTGTCCACGATTAGGAATAATTTACACTCTGTAATGAAACTTTAGTACTGTGCCCATATCAACATTAAGTTAGATGGTCTCTTCTTTATAAATATTTATGTATGTTCTAGAAACTGTAAATATTTAGGTTAATCCTCATCCCCTAAAATGTTGAATATTTAAATAGTACAAATACTTTAATATCTGTGCAGTTCATTGGGAGTTGTTGCATTTATAATCTACAGGATTTACTTTGAGAAGCTGCAATGTATGGATGTTTTCAGGTTTCCCAAAAAACCTTTGCATGTGGTGGTAATTCATTTGCTTTTGATATATCTCATTCAAAATGTCCTTTTGCATTGCTGGCAAGCAGAATTAGGTGGGAATCATTTTTGAGATTCAAAAGGCACAAACTCATACTTAGGCAAGGTACAAAACGTCTCACTTCTCTATAAGAGCTGTTTAAATATTTGCAGCTAATATTTACAGTGTGTTATCCAATAAAGACCACAACGCTGCTGTTTTGCAAGAGTCACACATTAAAAACAAAATAACCTGAGAGATTAACTATCTCATTGTCCTTTGCACCCATTACCTCCTTAAACCTTCTGTAGCCATAGATAATTTGTAATACAGGTCTTTTAGTACACAATTGATAATTTGAAGAAAGGTAAATACACCAAATTAGTTATGTACAACAATCGTTTTTAAATTCACATCAAAATCTATTTCCAGAGGGTTGCAGAAGTTTTGTCTTGTCTTTTGTCTTAGTGTTTTTCAGAATTTATGACCATTCCATAACACTTGTTTCTCTTGAGACACAACTGCAGATGTTCTTGTTAGAGGGTTGCTTTCTTTACAAAGGTCGTTCTGAAGCCAGCCTATGGCTTACAGTTGATGATAATGCAATGGGAAACAGAGTAATTAAGGCCTAAGTCAATTAGAAACCCAAAACTTAGCACAGGTTCATTGAGAGGTTCATGAATAAAGAATGGTTAGCAAATTTTGGCCTCTTACCTCATCAAGTCTACAAGTCTCTAACATCCTCTTTCCCCCTCCCTACTGGCTCTGAGACCCCTCCTTCATTTGTAATCTTCTGGGGGCTTGCATGGTGACCTGCAACCCCCTTCTGCTTTGTCCAGTGCTGTTGGGGGGCCAAGTGGCTTTTCCTCATCCTTCTGTGATCCTCCAGGTGGCTGCTCCACATTGTTTATCTCAGAGGGGAAAGGGGATGGCCTCTTTGGTCTGCTGGACTCCAAATCAGAGTAAAGACATTCTGGAGCTTACCCCATCCAACTGGCAGCTGTGTAGCTGTAAACATGCCTGACTCCACAGCAGCCAAGGGAACCTGACGCCTGAAAGATACCTCAGAAATCAGGGCTTCCCTAGCTACAGTGCAGACTCCAGGGCAGTGTCCACACAAGGAATTCTGAGGTCTCTCTCAGGACCCAGGACCCCTTTGTAGTAGGCACCTATCTTAACTCTACTCACTTAAGAGAGCACATTGGGACAGATGCAGTGTTTTCACATGTTTGTACAGTACCTAGCACAATGGGATCCTGCCTGGGATCTCTGGGCTCATTAGTAATACACATAATAAATATTAATAATACCAATGATAAAATGGGGAGATAAAAGAGCAGTCACCTGGTATCCTCTGAAGATCCCAGGACCAAGACATGAAACACTGGCCCCAAGGAGCCTTAAGGATCCCAATTCCAAGGTGTGTTGGCGGGGAGGGAAGAGAGCGGGGAATTCTCAGGGATATTTGCCACCTGTCACTCTGAACAAACACATATGGGTTTCTTGTCTGCAAACCAGCTCCCCTAGCTTTAGTACATGAAAACCATGTGACCAGGTTTCCCACACTTATGGTCATTACCTCTTTGGGCGGCATTTAAAGCATTAGCACAAAGACCGAATGTTTAACAGCCCATTACCAATCAGTGGAGGCATCATCTTGTGCATCTTGTCTATGATTGCCTCCTTTATAGAGTGTGTAGCCATTGAATTCACAATATGCAGATTCTAGCCATGCTCTTTCTAGTTCCCTAGTCTACCCAAACCTCTCCACTCCCACGTACTTCTATGGGGTGAGCCACTGTGGAGATGAGCTGACCACAATGTAAAGTATTGATCTGCATGGGCTGCCCATCCCCCACTGGTATCAGAGGAACAGCCGTGTTAGTCTGTATTCGCAAAAAGAAAAGGAGTACTTGTGGCACCTTAGAGACTAACCAATTTATTTGAGCATGAGCTTTCGTGAGCTACAGCTCACTTCATCAGATGTTTACCGTGGAAACTGCAGCAGACTTTATATACACACAGAAATCATGAAACAATACCTCCTCCCACCCCACTGTCCTGCTGGTAATAGCTTATCTAAAGTGATCAACAGGTGGGCCATTTCCAGCACAAATCCAGGTTTTCTCACCCTCCACCCCCCCACACAAATTCACTCTCCTGCTGGTGCTAGCCCATCCAAAGTGACAACTCTTTACATAATCAAGTCGGGCTATTTCCTGCATAGATCAAGGTTTTCTCACATCCCCCCCACCCCCATACACACACAAACTCACTCTCCTGCTGGTAATAGCTCATCTAAACTGACCACTCTCCAGGTTTAAATCCAAGTTAAACCAGAACATCTGGGGGGGGGGTAGGAAAAAACAAGAGGAAACAGGCTACCTTGCATAATGACTTAGCCACTCCCAGTCTCTATTTAAGCCTAAATTAATAGTATCCAATTTGCAAATGAATTCCAATTCAGCAGTTTCTCGCTGCAGCCAAACCATCAGGTTCTGTTTTGTTGGGCTTTCTTTCTGAAGAATGTATTTATCTTAGCAATGGTTTTAACAAATCTATACCTCATCCACAGCAGCTAACACAGGCATGTTAGCAGAAACCATCTTTAAAACAGTTTTTTCACCCAGGGGAAAAGTAGTGTAGACAGGGCCTTAAAGAAAGGAATAATTAGGTGACCTCTTTTCCCCAGAACATCAGGCCTGTTTCATGTAGAGCTGTTTGAAATCCCACAAATTCTCATTACTCTTAGAATCGCTGACCTTGTGTTGCTTTCCTTGTTTCAAATACCTTTTAGGAAATCAAATCAGGGTTGCAATCTAATTTCTAAAGGCATTCATACACATGGTATGTGTGCTAACTTGTTTCCTTTAACATTAACAAATCTCCCAAATTGCCAAGCTATTTGCCTTCAGGAATATTATTATGTTGTACAGGAAGATAGAGCATTTTTCCTGCAATTTTAAATATGGGAGAAAAAAAAAAAGGTAAAGTTATTGGGCCAGATTCATCCAGGATGTAATGCCTGTGAGGGAAAAGGTGTTGTTTTAAGGATGAATTTTGCTCAAGGAGATCGAGGGCCATTTCTTGTTTTGTTTTTAAACTACACAATTATATTGTTATGCTACCTGATGTGATCAGATAGTGCCTGATACAAAGCCCATTGCAGTCTATCCTGTTGACTCCAAGGGGCTTTGAATCAGGTGGGTACTGTTTGCACAGATATTTGGGTTGAGACATGAAACTGAAGCAAGAGAATTTGGGGCACTCAGTAGTTACTCCTGGGGGAATTCTGCATCACTGCACATGCGCAGAATTCATGCCCCCTGCAGATTTCTTTGCTTCCCAGCAGAAAAATGACTTCTGACGGGGAAGCAAAGGGAAACCACAAGAATGGTCATGCGCCCATTTCCCAACAGTGCAAGCAGGTCGGTTTGGGCACCCACAGCAGCCAATAGAGATGTAAATCACCACTCAGGGCGGGTGGTGGTCTGAGTAGTCATGCATGTGTGAGAGACACTCTGTCTCTCTCAACTGCTGTTGTGGTGTGCTTGGCATGGAGGGGCAGGGCTTTGGGGTGTTTCTGAAGAGGGAGACGCGGGGCAGATTCTGTTCCGTCAGGCAGAGGAGAATGTAGCAGCCTGCCTGCTTAGTGAATTGTTCCCATTGTTCTTATTGAATTCCCCCAGGAGTATAAAACAGGTGTAAACATTTTTACATTTTACATCTACATTTTACACTCCTTTTACATTGCCAG